GCTGGCTTCATAGAAGGAATTTGGAAGTTCTCCCTCCATTTCTATCTTTTTGAATAAATTAAGTGGTATTGGATGTAGATCTTCTTTAAATATATGATAGAATTCTGCTGTAAATCTATCTGGTCCTGGGCCTTTTTTAGTCGGGAGATTTTGTATTACTGTTTCAATTTCTTTTTGTGTTATGGGTCTGTTTAAGCTGTTATCTGTTTAAGCCTTTATCTTCTCAGTCAGTGGATCTAAACATTTGCAATTAACTTTATGAACTTTGCAAGTGACACTGTCTTTAAAACTGATTGATAAAATGCATGATGATACAGTCTTTTGTAACACTTGAAAAAAACAAAACAGACTTGTCTTTCATTACAACAGTGTATATTTGAACTGTCTTTTCAATAAACAACCATTGTTTGGTACATTTATGGATTCGCACAATCCTTGAAATAACCCTATTGCTATGTGGAGGAAGACAGCTGTAGATGACTCTTGTTGTCTGTTCTGGCTTCTAGAAAAACACCAAGGACTTGGCTTAAACAACAGACATTCTTTTGTTCCAATCATGTGAAGTCCAAGATCAGGGTGCCAACATAGTTGGGTTCTGAGGAAGGCTCTCTGCCCTGCCTATGACTGTGTCCACACAATGAAGAGTTGGAGCCAGCAAGCTCTTTGGTCTCCATTCTCAGAAGGATGCTAACCTTATCATTCAGGTCTACCCCTATGACCTCACCTGATCCAGTTGTTTCCCAAAGGCCCTTTTTGGGAAACATGATCAAACGGGGTGACTGTTTCAACATACGAATGGGGGAGTAGGCAATGGCACAGTCTAGCCTACAGCAATAAGTTTGTTGCTTGGGCCCAGTCTGGCCACTCTGTGGCAAGGAATCAGGGCTGGCGGCTTTATCAGCAGCAAGTTTTCATATGTGGCCTTTGGCAGTTGACTTGCGTGGGCATTGCGCTAGGTTCTGCAGAATGAATGTCTAGTCCCTTCATCTGAAGTAGATGTTTCCACTGGTCTCCTTCCCGCCCTCTTCTATCATGTAGCATTAATCTCTCCTCCTTTATTAATCCAAGATTTATATGATCTTGTGTGTGTTTTAAGGGTTCCTTTGCTCTGTGTTGTCTCAGGGATTATGTTTTAATGGTTTGCTATTCTCTAGTGAATAGCCAAAGTTCCAGAGTTATTCTTGTGGTTACTCTAATAACATCAAAATGATGCTGGCCTGTTTCTCCTCCTCTCTCTATGAACGTGTGTGTGTGTGTGTGTGTGTGTGTGTGTGTGTGTACATATGTGTCTGTGCTCTCATAACATGGTTATTCCCCATCTTCCATCCAGTTTTAGGCCCATATCATTTGCCTTTGCAAATAGGACTTGCTTTTTGCTTTGTGTTATAATAGTATTTGCAAGGGTTAGTTAGTTTTTTTTTCCTTCCTGATCCTTTTATTTCATGCTATCTCCAATTATTTTATGGTGGTGGTATCGGAACCCATGGCTTCTTCACACATGCTAGGCAAAAACCCCACCCCACTGGGCTATATCTCCAGCCATTTTGGTTTCTTTTTGTTACTTTAAGAAGAGATTTCACTAAGTTGCCCAGGCTGGACTTGAACTTGTGATCTTCCAGCCTCTTCATTCCTAGTGGCTAGGATTACTAGACTATACCACCAAGCCAAGCTCCATTCTTGGATTCTTTATTCTTTGTTTCTACCTTGGTTACCTTTCCCATTACTGTGGCTAAATACCTGCTAAGCAACTTAAGGGACGAGAGGTTATTTGGGCTCAGGGTTTGAGGGGATCCAGTCCATCATGGCAGGAGATGCATGGTGGGAAGGTTCTGTGACAGCTGGAGCACGAGGCAGTTGCTTGCTCACATTCAGAAGACCAGAATGCAGAGAGAGATGAATTCTGGCTCTCTGGCTTTGCTCCGTTCAGTCTGACCCCCAGCCCATGGGATGGTGCCACCCACTTAAGAGAGCTCCTTAGTTAATCTTTGAAAATGCCCTAACAGCCATACCCCAGAGATATGTCACCTAGGTGATTCTAAATTCAGTGGCATGGCATTGACAATAAAGATTAGCCATCTCAGTCTCTGCTATAATATATTTGAAGAACATTATTAGGCGTTCGTAGGGCACAGTCAGAACTTTTGAACATTTGAGGACATATTCATGACTTTTGGCCAATATGACTCTAGCCAGCCCTTCGCATCATTCTTACTCTGTTGCTCCCAGGCTGCACCTCTTCTGGGTGGGAGTCCATTCTGACTCTCTTCAGCATCCATTTGACTCTTACCATTGCGCTTTCAGGAACAGTTCAGATGCTGGATTCCTTCCTACTTCGCTTAGGGTTCCTGGTGACAGAAGGCAGGGTGAAGCACTCCGTTCAGCAGGAGGTGAGTTACAACTAAAGGGAATAAGTTAACAGTGGTTCCAAAACCTCAGAGATGGTTGTACATTTTCATTTCTTCCCATGACCTCATGCTCCAATTCCAAACAGGCTCTGAGTACTTTGAACTGCATTTTGAACGCTGCGCCTTGGGAAGAGAGACAAAGGCTGTCTTTGGCAGAAGGCATGTGCTGTCTTATGTAAGTGAACGTAAACTCAACGCGACGCGACGATGTAAGGCCCAGACCTCTCTGTAGTTCTTTGTTCTCAGCGGTCCCACGTCATTCCTCCCTTCGTTGTGTGCTTTGTGGGTTTACTAGGTGTCAAATGCTAGGCTGCATTGGACTGAATACAGTGGGCAGATGTCACTAGGCTTTTTTTTAGTAGCACAAGATTTTTGTTTTGTCTTATGTATTGAATTTGTAGGCCCAAATGCCCTCTCAGTGGATCCGTTCTACAAATGGAGCTTCACTGGTGACTCATGGAAGGAAGTCAGGGAGCAGCTCCCAGACTGCTCAGCCAGGTCCTGGTTTCCACACTAGCTGCTCATGAACACAGCCTTAACCTCATGGTACCTCAGTTTGCCTGCAAAATGGAGTGAACAATGAAAACCTACTGGAGAGTGAGTCAGTGTCAGGATTAAACCTAGCAATCCATTTAAAGTGATTAACACCTGGAAAAGCAGGTGCTCCAAGGTTAACAGCAAAACTGGAGGGCATGAATTTGATAGTGTTTTCAGGTGATGGATTTTTTTTTTTTAATTTTAGTGACCCAGTTAAGACTACATAGATTTTAATGGATTTTAGAATGTGACATTTGAAGGTAAGAGTTTAATCTATGATGAAGTAAAGGGTGAAAGTGGTCCCCTGTTTTGAAATTTGAATCTAAACACTTGTCTATGAGAACTGTAGTGAGGAGGCCATCTTGGCGACAGTGACCATTCCTGTGCCGTGTGGCCACGAGCAGAGAATGTGCTGCTTGCCAGTCGGGAGCTCACTGCTGTCCAGTGCATGAGTCTTTGTGAGGTGTGGCTCTTGAGAGACTTGTTTCTAAAAACAAAAATCCTTGATTACATTAGTAATCACTGCTCTTCTTGGAGCACGAAGATTTGGAGAGCAGCTGACCTGGTTCTTCCCAAGTTTTCAAACTAATCCTGTGGTCATATTACCATGATTTTAGAAAGAAAGTCTGGAATGTTCTGGACTTCAAGTCAAAGATAAAACCTACTTGGAATGAGATTAAGCAGAATTCTCAGTGGTACTGTTTTAAGGTTTTTTATTTATTATAACATATCCAAACCAATACATTTATTATTGTGTGTATGTGGTGCGTGCGTGTGTGTGTTTGTGTGTGTGCACGCGCGCATGTATCTGTGCACATGCATATGGAGGCTGGAGGATATTCCCCAGGTTTTATTATCTACTTTTATTTTTTCAAATGAAATATCTCCCTGACCTGGAACTTGATAAGTAGACTAGGGTTATTGAGTTCTCGGGATTTGTCTGTCTGGGATTACATGCGTATGTCACAGGCCTGGCTTTTTTATGTGGGTTCTGTAGAACCCAGATCCTTATGCTTGTAAGGTATGTACTTTACCAATTAGCCATCTCCCCAACCCCTTAAGGTTTCAAAAAAAATTTATTCTTTAAAATGGGAAATTTTTGCTGAATGTGGTGGTGCACACCTGAAATCCCAGGTACCCAGGAAGCTGAGGCAGGAGGACTATCTGTTTAAGGCCAGCCTGGGCTAAATAATGAACTTTTCTCAAAGCACCAAGGGCTGTGGATACAGATCTGTAGAGAACCTGTCTGGCATATACTAAGCCCTAGATTTGATCCTCAGCGCCCCCCCAAAAGATTTTCAGATATAAGGGGGAAAAACTCACCATATTTAAAGAATTTAGTTGATATTCTGGAATGAATATGCAATATAGAGACATCTAAGACAGGTATACAATGTAATAACTTACCCCATTATACATCTAAACTAAGTTGATCAATTTAAAATCAGATCAAGCATATCATGGGAGACTCATAGGACTCCACTCCCTCAGGTGTCAAGCTCTGTGATAGGATGTATACTTCTAGGAGCTGGTGAGGTGATTGGTTACAAAAGAAAATAGGTCAGTGTAGTGGCACATGCCTATAATCCCAGCATAGAGGAAGTAGAGGCAGGAGAATTGCTGTGAACTCAAGGCTAGCCTGCTCTATATAGTGAGTTGCAGGTCACCCAGGGCTAATATTAAGACTGCTTCAAAACCAAACAAAACATTCTCCCACCCAAATCCCAAGAAACCCTAAGAAAACCCAAGAAACTTCAGAATGATGTCATTAGTGAGCCCCCAGAGCTCACCAAACTAGATTCACTTTATGAAAGGGTCAGTGGAGCCTCAAAAATATAGCACCTGTATCTTCTTAAAAATGCATATTGATTACTAATGTGTAAATCTGAACAAATTTTTCATGTAAAGGTATTATGCACACTGTGGAAATCTGATACTGAATTCAAAATCATCTAAAATATGTATATCTTGGTTTTAAATTTTACTATAATAAGGTTTTGCCTCTTTATGTTCATCTTAGTAAAATGTAACTTATATAAATGTTTCAGGAAAGAATTTTCAAGGACGATTTTGACCGTGGGTGGTAAGAAGTGGTTAGAATTTTAAATACTTAGAATATTAAATATTGGACACTGGGAGTTTTATGAGAATGTTGGAACTATGAGGAATAAATTATGCTAATTTGAACATAGGAATTAAGATTTTATTTTTAATTTTAAGAGATTTTGGCCTGCTGAAAATTATAATGAATTGTTAACAGATAGACCCTCACTGGCCAGTTTTGTCACTTTTTAATATTTTGATGCATGTGCTTTGAATAAAATTCTTTTAAATAAAAGAAATCAAAGTCATGAATAAAGTTCCCCATGTCCATATCCCCACCTCCCTTCCCTTCTTTGATTCAGATTTGTTTTATCATTCCTAAACATATTTTTCTGTCTTTTCTCTATATTGCAATACACTATCATTATGTAGATTTAAAAGCATATAAATGCTACCCTATAAGTCTTATCTGATTACAGCTCCCTTTTTGCCTTTATAATTATTTGAGATTTGGGCTAGGGATATAGTTCAGTTGGTAAAGTGTTTGTCTACCATACACAAAGCCCTGGGTTTGCATCTCACCGGCACATAAACAATATGGTGGTCCATGCCTATAATCCCAGCACTTGGGAAGTGGAGACAGGATTATCAGAAGTTCATGGTCATCCTTGGCTAATAATGAATTTAAGGCCAAGCTAGGCTACTTGAGACCCTGTGTTAAAAAAAATTGAAATTTGAACATGCAGTTTAACTTCTATAAAATATTGTAAATTTAATGGGATTTTATTTTTGTGGTAGAAAAATTTAAAGATGATCTGATTTGATATTCTAATATATCTAAAATATAAAACCAAAATTATATATAACAATATATGTATTTTTTCATAGTACCAGGGATTGAACTCAGTGCCATGTGCATAGGAGGAAAGCACTCTACCACTTGACAATATCCAGAGCACTCAAATCTATATTTAAAAATGTTTATATGAAATTTAGATTTTTCTCCTAGCAATCCTTAAGTAATGGTAATTACTCCAGAGAGCATCTTTTATGACTTAGTCTTCTGTGATGGGATTTCTTAATACAGAACGTGCTGACTTTGAAACTTGTTATGTGCTTTGCTTTGTGCCCAGAATTATCTGTCTGCCGTGTTTTGAATCTCTAGATTATGACCAGCAGGTTGCTATCTCAGAGGCATTATGTCGAATGACAACTAAAACATCAAGGGATGATCTCGTCCTTCAGTGGTTTGATGATGAGGTCCTAGCTGATGCTTTCAAAGAAATTAGGAATCGGGAATTTGAGACGGTGAGTTTTCTGGTCATGAGCATCTTTGCTTGGTCAGTATGTATTAAAGATCCTCTTAGCACTTTTCCTGCTATTGGGGTGGGAGAGAATTCATTTTCTTTCTTTTCTTTTTAAAAGATTTTACTTTAGTTTTAATTCTGAGAGAGAGAATGAGAATGAATATGAATATGAATATGTGAACTTCTGGGCCAGAGGCCCAGAAGAGGGCAACAGTTTGCTTGGAACAGAAGTTACAGGTGGTTGTGAGCTGCCCATCATGGGTGCTGGGAACCCAACTTGGGTCCTCTACTTGGACAGTATGGGCTCTTAACTATGTAGCCATCCCTCCAGCCTCTTGTTTCTTAGATATGATTAGGTTGCCAGTCTTAAACTTCCTGTTTTCCATATCAGTAAAACAATTTGAAGGTAACATGAACAGAATATTTGGGGGGCACATGGGAAGATTCATACAGGACTCATATAGGACTTCTTTAATGGGAACTGAGCCTGGAGACAGAACTAAGTGAATCTGATGGATCCAGGCAAGGAGAAGGTATGGGAGTGGGTAGAGGTCTCTGATGAGCCTTGAAAAGTGGGGCTGACATTGAAGGAGAAAGAAAAGGGCCTTGCAGAGAGCAGTGCTAATGTTGGCCGGCATTGGCCTCTGTGCTCTAGTGGTAAGGAATATCATAGAGGATCATGGTGTGAACTATCCAGTCACTGCAGTTTGGAGGCAAGGGGGTTTGCAGTGTCTTTTTGTGCAATCTGAGCTTACTATGTTTTTAAGTAGCATAAAATAGCTCTGGCTTTATTTATCTGCCTTCTTCCCTAGAATTGGCAATGTATTTTCTCTATTCTCTTAAAAAGATCTTTTAATCAGGGTTAGATTCTAAAGAAAAGGTAAGATTTGTAGTAACTTCATTTTAACAAAGCCTTCTGATCAAAACTGTTGTATAGGCAGGGTTATTGCACAATCCAGAATGTATTGAATTTGAACCTTTGTATTATTTATCTTAGACTCTCGAACTGACATTACACAGAAGAGGGTTAACCAGGATTAAGTTTGATCTAAATGGAAAGATTGTGAGCTTGGGGGCTTTTGACCAGTTTAAGTTTTACCACACGGCAGAGCCTCACCTCCTGACTTAGGTGATATTTGCATTAGACAAGTCCTGACTGGTGAAGTCTGAGTGTTTCATCTGCAAGGTGGGACTACATTCCATCTCAAAATGTAGAGAACTTGGGGCTAGAGAGATGGCTCAGTGGCTAGGAGCACCACTGGCTGTTCTTGCAGCAGACCCGGGTTCAGTTCTCAGCACCCACATGACAGCTAACAACTATTTGTAGCTCCAGTTCCAGGGGATCCGACACCCTCTTCTGACTTCTGCAGGCACTAAATGACATGGGTGCACTATGCACATGTAGGTAATACACTCATATACATAAAATAAAAATAAAACATTTTTTAAATGTAGAGAATTCAGTGAAAGAAACTAAGAGTTCCTGGGATGATGTGGGCAGTTAAACACTCCCTCATCTTCAGAGATTTCATGAAAATAGAGTAATTATCTTGTTTCCAAAATTGTCCCCTAACCCCTGCCCAGCCATGTTTCTTAATCAAACTGCTTTTAGATGAAGGGCTCGCACTGTTGCTGTCTTTTTAGGGTTGAAATGTCAGTAACATTTGCCAGTTCTTGGAAATAAAAACAAAAGTAAATCTGGACCTCTGTCTCTTTGCCCCCAGAGCAACACATTCAGTGTCCTGAGAACTGTTGCTTAAGAAATCCCAAAAGCAGTTGTTATTCTTTGAACATATGTCACGAGAGAAAACCCACAAAGGAGTGGCATGGGAAATGTGTCCACATGAACCCAAAGTTGATAAGTTTATATATATATGGCTTTTGCTGGGCAGATGTTAGGGAGGCTTATGCTAGGTAGGTTAGTCAAATACTGGAGTTTCGGTTGACAGCTTACTCTTTTTGCCCAAATGAATCAGGCATATAACTTTTGGGCACCTAAGAATTCTTCAGCTCAATAGCTAATGCTTGGGGGGTGTGGTTCCTTCAAGAAGTATGCCTAGGGCCTTCTCTCAGATGCACAAAACATTGCTAACATAAAGTAGTGAATCCTCTTGAAGCTTTGAGCTACTGTTGGCTCCTGAATGCTTAGAAGCAAACACAAACTCCTGCATATGCCAGCTGGGATAACATGCAAGATATTTTGCTTTAAAATAAAAATGTATTACTTATTTTAAGGACTGTCGGCGATTTCTCAATCTCTTGAACAACAGACTTGGTGACCAGAGAAGGTAAGCGGTGTCTTTGGAAATTCTTTTAATGACTACTTATATTTTGAGATTGTCTAACATTTTAAAGGAATAGCTAGGATATTTTTAATTTTAGAAGAGAATATAGGATCAACGTTTTACCCATTAGAAAACCAGGAAGAGCCTGGTTGACGGCTCACACCACAAATCCTTTCACTTGGGAGGCCGAGGTGGATCATGAGTTCAAGGCCAACCTGGCCCACATATCAAGATTCTGTTTCAAAAAAAACAAAACCTAGGGACTGGAGAGATAGCTCAGTGGTTAAGAGCACTGACTGCTCTTCCAGAGGACCCGGGTTCAAATCCTAGCACTCATGGCTAACAACCGTCCATAATGCCAGTTCCTGGGGATCTGCCTACTTCTGACCTCTGTGAGCACTTACATGCAGGCAATACACTCATATACATAAAACCCCATAACCTAAACCAAACAAAAGCCAAAGCATCAATATTCCTAGGGAGATCAGATCCTTTTTTCCTAGTGGCTGATGGTGTTTAAAAGTTATCTCTGTCTTTAGTATATTTATTAATGATGGGATTTTTGAAATTAAGTTAGTTCCTTGACTATTTCATACATGCATACTTACACAGTGCATTCTGGTTACTGTCTCCTCCAAACCTCTCTTATCTCCCTCCCACCTGTCACCTCCCTTTTCCTCCTGACTTGACCCTTTCCTAGACCCATTTAGTGTAACCAGGGTCATTTGTGTAGCCATTGGATTGGGACTATACACTGGAACTTGGTGGGGTCATCAGTGGATGCACAACTACCTGAATCTATCCATAGGAAATAGTTTAGCAGCACGGGGAGGGGGCCCTGAGTCCCTCCTCCATACAATGGGATATTTTTAATGCAAAATTCTTTAGAGAGTTTATAGATTTTGTTTTTTACTTTCTCTTTAAAATTTTTAATTACGTTACTGAGAGAGAGAGACAAAGACAGACATGTGGAAGTCAGAGGGCAACTTTTGGGAGTTGGTTCTTTCCTTTCACCAAGCGGGTTCCAAGGATTGAACTCAGGTCATCAGGCTTGGTGGCAAGTGCCTTAATCCATTGAGCCATCTTGTCATCCAGAGAGTTCATAGATTTTATGAAGAATAATTTTGTAAAGATTTGAGGTCTCTGGAGGTAGACATATTATGAACAGGTAAGTCCTTGGTAAGACAGTCTTTGCTAAATTCATACCATTCTTTAGGAATCTGACCAATTTCTTTGAAATGAGTGCTAATAGCCTGGCTTATAAAGTGCCTATTGGAGCAGTGAAATCTACCTAGACTAGGTTGCTGTTTGCAGGGTTGAAACCCTCTACCATACTGTGTATAGCAGACTTCCCAGCATGCTGTATTTATACAACATTGTTATGGACATCTGTGGGTCATTTTTTGAATTGTGAGGTGTTTTACAGGGTCTGTTCATTTCCATGTGTTGCTGCTTTTGCTGATTCTCATGAGGTATGTTTCTCTCGGGGATCCTAAGGCTAGTATGAAATGAAACCCACGGTTATGATTACATGGTTAGGTCAGACTTGTGTTGTCAGTACTCTAAGGAGCTATTTGTTGGTTTGTGTGTGTGTGTATGCTTGTGTTTACACGTGCTTGTGCACGTGAGTGTGTGCTTGCACGTAGAGGCCAGAAGAAAACCTTAGGTGCTGTTCCTCAGGTGCCATCCACACAAAGGAGCCTTTAAAAAAGGATGCTAGGGGCTGGAGAGATGGCTCATGGTTAAGAACACTGGTTGGTCTTACAGAAGACACGGGTTCGAATCCCAGCACCCACATGGCAGCTAGCAACTGTCTGTAACTCAAGTCCCAGGGATCCGACAGCCTCTTCTGACCTCTATGGGCATTGAAAGACATAGTGCACTTACCAAATGCAGGCAATATACGCATACACATAAAATAATAAATAAAATTTAAAAATATTTAAAAAAATAAAAAGATGCTAACTTCTAGTGACCTCAGCCTTCAAACCAATCAGATCATGTCATAACCAGGATGCATTTCCAATTACGTTTAAAGGATCTGTGGTTATATAAGCAAAAGAGACTTCAGACTCCAGACTGTACACGAGTACTAGACCTTTACTTCATTTTAAAGTCATGGTAACTTTGTTCATGATGGAACTGGAGAGGAAAGGGTCAAGATTTTATTGGTTTTTTCCCTTCTAGTTGATGCATCCTGGGTCAGCTTCCCTTTCTCTGCACCTTGGTCTTTATAGCAGACATTATTTTTGTATGAAGTTCCGTCAGAGCACAAATATACTGTGGTGCCAGGCGTGTCTTCTAGCTTTCATTCTCCTGTCCTTTGTAGTCTAAGACTGACCAGTTTCTTCTCCATCTCTTTGATTTCTAGAAGAACAAGGGCCCTTCCCGTAAAAAAGCTCCAACCGATAGCATCTCAGTTGCCAGATAAAATACCCAGATTTACCTCAAAGTCTTGACTCAGTTGAGATTTCCTGAATGTCTTCCCTAATCACTTCTTTGCTGTGGGTTCAGAGCCCCCTTCATGGCTTCTGGAGTTTTCAACTTAGACTATACCACAAGTTCCCCTGTCTGTGGCCGATTTTGATGGATGATGAATCTTGCCTTTCAAGGTCTTCTGCTTTTCCTCTGGTTATCTGAGGATTCCATTCTATGTTGGTGGCTCTTCCCAGGGCCTCCAAGTTTCCATCAGCTCCAATCAGGGATCTTATACTTGCCCCTTGTGCTGTCTTTTAGTGGCATGTGTGAAACCTTCTGTTCAGCTATGCAGCTATTATAGGAGGCTTGTATGATGGAAAAGAAAGATGTCTAAGCAACACTGATGTTTAGGAAAGCAGGTTGGAGTAAGTCTGGCGTTTGCTCCATTGTTGGAGGAATAAAAGCTTTGTGTAGCTGGGTGAGGTGGTGCATGCCTCTAATTTCAGGACTCAGGAGGCAGAGACAGGCAGATCACTGTGAGATTGAGGCCAGCCTGGTCTACAACACCAGTTCCAGGTCAGCTGGGCTACAGAAAGACCCTGCCTAAAAAATAAGACTTTGTTTCTTAAAGTCAGTCCTAATCCAAAAACCTTAAATGCTCCCAAATTCCAGACTTCCATGTGCTCCATGATATTACATGGAAAAATCAGGACTTGAGAGAGAGCTCAGTTGGTAAAGTGCTTGCCTCACAAGCATGAGGACATGAGTTTGAGCCCTTAGAACTCATGTTAAAAAAGTCCTGGTGTGGTAGCCCCTACCTGTAACCCTAGCCCTGGGGAGGCAGAGACGGGCAGATCCCTGGAGTTCACTGGCCAGCCAGCCCAGCATGCTGTGTGAATTCCAGGTCAGGGTCCTATGTGAGGAATAACATTGTGGATGGCACCAAAAGAATGATGCCCAAGGTAGTCCTCTGGCTTCCACACTTACATGCATATACAACCACATACACATGTGCATCCACACCACTTACACATATGTGAACACACATAAAAGGAGAAAAATATCCCAATAGCCAGTGAGATGACCCAGCAAGTCAGTCTCTGGGACCTGCATGATAGGAGGAGAGAACTGACTCCCATAATTTGTTCTCATACCTCCACATGTATGTCATGGTACACGCACGCACATACATACACACACACAATAAATGTAAAACAACTTTTAGTAAGCACACAGGGGATAAGAGCGCACTTACACTATTGTATGAAATTCCCTTCAGGTGATGGCTGTAAGTTTTGTCCCCATCCCCAAGACTGCTCGCTATGTACATGTACATGGTCCAAAATCAGAAGTACTCTGGTCCCAAGTATTTCAGATGAGCAATGCCTGTACTTTCTGGTATTTGTCTAGAAAACCTCGGGGTGGGGGGGGAGGACAGAAGCATCGTCAGGGAAGCCTAGATGCACACCTGTGGGAAGGTGGACAGAGAAATTTGCTGTTTCTGTAAACACCGTGTAGCTTGAATCTTTCTTTTACTTTCTGCTTTTGCTATGTGTGTATTTTATAATAACAAAACCAAAAGCAATTTGAGCTCTTTAAGCCTTAGCTATTCTGATTTGGTAAGTAGGGCAACAATTTGCCACTTATATTTGATCACAATATCTCCTTTTCTAGAAGTTTCCATCTCTCTTCAGTGTGTTTTACTGCCACTTCAACATAGAACTGCCCCCCCCATAATATCCACCAGAAAAGAAATTGTGTGGATAGTCATTTGACACATTTAAATATCTATTAAATATACTGAAGGTAGGTGATCTCACTGGAAATGCCTTGGCCATATGAGATTGAAACCTTCTTCCTGATTTACATGCATGATTTAGGTAATAAGTGGAGGCTTGGGGTAGTACTGTTCCAGGTGCATAAGTTGTTTTTACATAGGGAGTTCCAGGTCAGCTGGGGCTACAGGGAGACTTATTTCAAAAAAAAAAAGGAAGCTTTGTATATAAAAGTCATTCCTGATTCAAGAAATTGAAATGCTCCTAAATTCCAGACTCCTTGAATGGCCCATGATACCACATGGAAAAATCAGGGCTCGAGAGAAAGCTCAGTTGGTAAATTGCACCTGTTGACATGATTTTTCTGTGTATAACTGAGGTGGAAAGTCTCTTACAGATGAGAAAACCAGCAGATGAAAAATTAGAGGAATTTTGGATTGATTTCAACCTAGGAAGCCAGAGCGTGACTTTTTACATAGATAATGCTGAGGTAACTAGGATTCATTCCCGAGCAGACTTGGGCATGTGGAGGCCTTTGTGTAAGTATGTGTTAGACATTCATGAGTTTTCTCTGTTCTCTTTCCCAAGAGCCCTCTGTGGGTACCAGTAAGACTTTTGAAGGAAGCAGTGGCTAACTTCAGCATCTTAGGTAAGATGATAATTTTAAACCACTTCCTGTGGAGCACTGGGTATTATCTATGCAGATGTTTGCAGTTCGTGTTTAGTTAACTCTAGGGAAGATCTTGATTGCACGTGTGCATTTAAAATCTATTAGTCATGTTAAATCAAAAAGACAGTTTCAACCAAATATTTCACTGACTTGAAGAAAGATACTAGCACGTAATTACCATTAAACGATTGCTCTATTGTACTTCTTGTGTGTGTGACGTCTCTACAGTCTGATGCAGGTGCTGAGCTGGCAAGTCGTGGCAGTCCGTTAGCCATTCGTTTCAAGCCTGCTGCTGTTCTGGACAGCGAGATATGGATCTGTTCGTCTCGCTTCCTCCTCACTGCTCCGTGTATGGCTCTTGGCTTTGTCTGCTCTTTCATGAACTTCCTTTTCTCTTTGGCTTCTACCCACTCTGAACTCATGACTTATTCTTGGGACTGTGAATTTTAATTCAAGTTACTTTCTGTTTTAAAGCTCTTTGTCAGTGAAGTTGTGAAAGGGGGTCGCTGCTGAAACTCAGGCTTCTTGGCTAGGTGTTTCCATTTTTTTCTCTTTAAGATGAGCCTGCTAAAATGGATATTGGCATATTGGCCAATATGTGGGATTTCAGGAATATGTGGGATTTCAGAGAGGAGGGTGGAATCGTGCTTAGTATATTTGAAACTAAAATACTTGTGTAAACAAAAATGCTCATAAACGGAATTGTATCATACAAGTATCTCTATCTCCATTTCTTTACTAGTAAAAACAAGGTACTTCATGTTTTCAGATGATCAGCCTCTTAGCCAGGTATTATGTATGTAAATAACAATTTCAAATGATTTGATTTTAATACGGTTTCTTTACAGCTTCATATTGCAAAAAATTCTGAACTGTTGACAAATCAATCAGCAGTTATTTAAAATCACAGCATTTGCAAATAAAAGCTTTCTACTGATGTGCAAGGTGACTGTCATATCTTCTGTTAGAAAATGACGGGATGAAGAGGCTTGTTATTAACCTGCAGCAACCTATTGTTATCAGTCAGAAAGAAGCGACTAAAATAGAAATCCATTTTGATTCACGACTCAACATATCACAAGCTTCTGTTGGAGCTTTGGGAGAAGACAAACAGGTGGCAAGTTTCATTTCTTTTGATTATTTTAAAATGTGGTTTCATCCTCTTCAGTTTCCATGTTGGGTTTTGATGAACCTTGTGGTCCAGCAAAAAACTCCAGTATTCTGGGTTTGAATCCTAACCTACCTGCATCTTAAATATATAAAGCATAAATGCTGGTTTTGCCTTGAAATGTTTTATTGCATCCATTGTGGACAGTGATGTTTGTCTGGGATAGCATCACCTCCTCACCAGGCTCCTCCCAGAGACCTGAGGAAACCCAGCTTCTTGGCACTTTCTGCCTGCACCCTAGTGCATCTTCCCAACTTTCTCTGTACTGGTCTTCCTGGTAGAAATGTTCTCCATCTGTTCTGAGATGCTGTGGTCTCTCGCTCCCTAATGCTTCCTGGGTATTCACAACAAGGGCAGTTTTCCATGCAGACAGAAGGCAAAGCAAAGAAGTCTGTGGTTTTGAAAGAATGTATGGTAAGGGGCAATAGGGACTGAATGAAAAGGTCAGAGGAAGTAAAGGAGGAAGTGGAGGGGGGAAAAGTAAGAGGGAGGGTGGAGAGGAGGGACGGAGTGAGAGGGAGGGAGGAAGCCTCAGGCTGGTTTCCTTTTGTTTTGAAGTGTGTATTGAGGCATTATAGATAATAATGTGCTTTGAAATATAGTTCTCAAAGACCCTGTGAAAGGAGGGAGAAGAAGGGTGAGACCAAGGAGAGTAGACTAGTGAGACGTCTCCTCTGTCCTATTACGTGATGAATTGTCCTGGCCTGCTAAGTTTGCCTTTGCTTACAAAGACCATCAAAATCATATGCATTTCTGCATTTCACAAAGCAAATTAACATGGTTTTGGTGTAGAGAACTGTCGTCTGCATGGGACGCAGCCACAGCTTCTAGAATTTGAAGCTGCAGTGAGAAGGGGTAGAATGGAGGGTCCTACAGTTGGGGACTCATTCATTGCAGATGCACAATGAGGGCTTACACTGACTGTAGCCACAGAAATGAGAAGATGCTGTTTTTTCGTTTTGCTTTGTTTTGGTTGGTTTATTTTCTGTTGCTATAACTGACTAACAGGCTGGGTAACTGATAAAGTTTGTCTAGCTCACACGTGCATTCTGGAGACTGGAAGTACTAGAACTTGGTGTTGAATCTGCTCTGCTTCTGGCGAGGGCCTCAGGCTCTACCATAACGTCACATGGCAAGAAGAGCAAGTGTGTTAGAGGCAGGTCACTTTAACAACGGGCCTTTCTGGAATCATACATCTACTCATGAATGGATCAGTCCAGTCACAAGGGCAGAACTCTTATGAATCCTTCTGAAAACCCTGCCTTTTAACACGACTGGGGATAAGTTTTCCAGAAAAATTTTGGGAGCACATTTAAAGCCATAGCAGATTCAACCAAGACCAGGAGAATGTGGTTAAAAACGAATAGGGAGGCAGAGCTGGTCCCTGAAGGAGGGCAAGGGGCCGTGTAAGCCAGAAACAGGAACATGCAAAAGATGTTAAATGGTTGCTTGTTCCTCCCAATTCATTAATGTGCTGTATGCTAAGCCTTCAGTTTTCCTTAAAATGTTTTTTAATGGATTATTGCTTTGAAAATTTACATAACTTTGGTTTTCATTTCAGACACCTGATCTGTTGCAAATCTCTGAACGTTTACATGAGTTTGAAAAAGGAGATGACAAGACTCCCAGTAGTCACGAAAGAGAAACAGGTATCCTGGGAGCCGGCAGAGTTCTAACTCTGAAGTCCCTGTAGAGGCCTGGTGGTGTGTTGAAGAGGTGGTTCACAGCCTGTGCCTCTCTCAGCAGTATGTGGAGGAAGAGCCGATCATAGCCTTGAAATTCTCCATCTGTTAAAGGCCTCTTTGAAGCTGACCTTGTTAGGACTTAAAGACGGGAACTAAACTATAGCTTCATAGGAGCAGCAGGGCCTGGTTGGAAGTGACAGAGAACAGATGCTGGGGATGATGGGAGGTGGGGTCTGCGGGGTCCTGTCTACACACAAAGCCTATTCTCTTGAATTTCTTTCCAATTTCTGGTCTCAAGTTTAGCCACAACCTCACTACCATTTCTTACCACAAGGTGGCGATGTCATTGTCATTTAAAAAACACTTTTCTTATTGTACACAGAGCTGGCAGAAGAAGCCACCCCCCTGATGGGGTCCATGGGCCCTGAAGATGATCATTGCCTAATAACTCTCCGCTTAAATGACCAGTCAGAGCCTGCTGTGAGTACAGGGAGCTGGGAAGAAGGCTGGGATATACTGCCTGCAGGATAGACAGGTGGATGCCTCCTCCCCTGACTTGTAGCCTATTTTCTCTTGGATAGCTGTGTCCTTATTTTAGATTACTGTCATCTGCCGAGTACATATGTTCTTTCCTTTCACTGAACTTGGCTTTCCCATGAAATGCCTGCCTGGGCTGACCACTGCCTGTTCCCTCATCTGAGATCTGGAGGCAACTGTCTACAAACTAACGTGGGGGAAGGAGCCTAATGCTGGGGGTCAGATGTGGTTTCCCTCACCAGCTGTGGACACCTGGATACATCCATTCATACTGCTGCTCTTGAGGCTCTGTGTCTCTCACTGTGGACAGCAGTTAGCTCTTAGCTATGACCTTGTTAGGACTTAAAGATGGGAACTAAACTATAGCTTCATAGGAGCAGGAGGGCCTGGTGTGTCATTTCACAGCAAGATGACTATGGAGAACAGTAAAGCCAGAAGAAAGGATTTGGAATGTTGTTCCTATATAGAAATGAAAAATGTTTGTGGGGATATGTTTAGTCTGATTTAAACTTTCCCCGATGTATACATGTGTCAAAAACCTTACATGGCATATCACAAATGTGCACAATTTCATGTGTGAGTTTAAAAAATTAGAAGTGCAGTAGACTGCCTGTGTGGCATATTCAGGCATCCATTCCTTTCCTCATTTTCTTATATGAATGCATTGTGCAGAAGTTTGGAAATGGTGTCAAGACTTTTGCTTAACAGCCAGAGTTGTCCAGACACATTGTCACCTTTTAAATAGTCTGCTTGGGAAGTCGTACCCTCATCCAACAGTACTAATGGTGCTGGGCACTTTCCTATGGTTCCTCTATACCTGTGACACTCGATGGTTATCTTTGACAGTGGCAAGTCCTTGCTTATGGTATGGATGTGAAGGTTTTGGAACAACTGAGTGATTGGGAGCCAAATTGTATTCAGTAAGGATGCTTTTCTTCAGAGGTGAAAGTGGTTCCAAAAGACCCTGAAGACAGAAGCTTCCTAATACCAAAGTAACTTTTTTTTTCTTGTAGCAAACAAACAGAGCAGATGATTCATCTGCAAAATTGAAACTGGATGATCCACAACAAGGTTTGAACATTTTCTCCATCATCAATGAGTAGTCTGTTCAAATGCCCACTCAAGATCCTTACATTATTTTACTTTTTAACTTTTTGTCATTAGAAGTTACTTCAAACCATGAGTCCTCTTCAGTTGTACAAGAACCATCAGTTCAAATTCAGGTGCCTAAATTAGATGACACAGCAAAGTAAGCGATTTTCTTTTTTAAAAATATTTTTATGTGTATGAATGTTTTTGCCTGCTTGTATGTAAGTGCACCAAATGTATGCAATGCCTGCAGAGACCACAAGAGGGTGTTTGATCCCCTAGAACTGGAGTTATAAATGATTCTTAGCTACCATGTGGGTACTGGGAATTAAACCTGGGTCCTCTGGAAGAGCAGCAAGTGTTCTTAACCTCTGAGCCATCTCTTCAGCTCTGTGATTTTCTTTTTTAAACAAATTTATTTTGGTTTTATTTGACAAAGTATTGTCCATGTTCATGGGAAATGGGGACATCTCCACACATGTCTCCACTGTGTAATGATCAAATGAGAGGGCTTCACATAGCCATCCCAAGCAAAATGAGAGCATTTGACATATCCATCCTAAACATTCCTCACATCTATGTAGTAACATTGTAATATTTTCTTCACCTGGTTTATTTCACTTACTATAATGCCCTCTAGTGTCATCCGTGCTGTCGAGAATGACAGGATTTCATCTTTTGTGGCCGAATGGCATTCCATTGTGTGTATGTATCACATTTTCCTTATCTGTTCATCTCTTGGTGAACATTTTGGCTGATTCTACATATTGGCTACTATAAGATTACAAACCTACACAGATGGTTGTTGATGTGACTACTACATGCCAAAAGGTCAGATGTTTCCCTTTTCCTGAAAGTGGCTATTCCTCATCCAATTTTCATGTGAAGTTCTCTGTAGAAGGATTTGAGCCATGTTGGCAAAGTATCCTGCCCTGCAGGTATCTGCCGATGGACCTCTAGAATTATCTTTAGCATTGTATTTTTTGGCCGCCTTTCAGAGTAAAAGGCACAAGAGCAATGTACAGAAGGAAATTTTCTTTATGTTTGGTAACAATCAGAAAAGTAGTATCATTTATAGTAGCATTAAAATATAATGTGCTTGGACATTAATTAGAAAGATACTTTTAAGATACTATCACAGAAGACTTTAGAAATGGCCCAGCAGTTAAGAGCACTAATTGCTGTCCCTTAAAGTTCAAAATTTCAATGGTAATAATACAATTCAACAGCTAAGTGTGGTGGTACATGCAGTACTTGGGAGGCAGAGGCAGGCAGATGTCTGTGAGATGGGAGTTCCGGGCTAGCTGGGGCTACAGAAAGACCGTTTCAAACAAACAACAAACAAAAAATGCAATCCAATAAAAATACAGGCAAAAATTTAAACAAAAGCACACAGATGGCAGATATGCACATGAGTGTTGTTCTAGTGAAAAGTGCATTGAAAGGACCATGGGATACAGTGCACATCATTAGAACGGCTAATCTTAGAAATGCTGTCTGAACGACATGTTTTTGACAATATGGAAGACTATTTGACAATAGGTAAGACTCATGCCTTCTGGTAGTTTCTTAAAATGTTAAACATCTACCTACCCTCTGACTCAGTTGTTCCAATCCTGTGTATTTTCCCAAGAGGTCTGTCAGCATATGTCCACAAAAATGAATGTATACAAATGCTTGCATCAGCTTTGCTCATACTAGCCACAAACAAACAGTTCTCATGTCCGCCAATAGATAGATGGATGATTTAGACTGAGCACCCCTTAACCTAAATGCATAGGACCAGAAGATTTTTGGATCTCAGATTTTGGAGAATTTATATATAAACAATGAGGTATCTTGACAGTGGAGCCCAAGTCTAAATATAACTTCTTTTTTTTTTCTTTATGCACCTCGTACACACAGGCTGGGCCGATGCTAATTTTATACAGTACTTTCCGTGCATCTGCAGTTTGGCCGACCTATCTCATGAGGACAGGCGTGGGAGTCTTGTGTTGTCACTTAGAGCGCTTTGGTTTGGAGCATTTGGGGTTTCCGGATTTAGAATGGACACTTTGCATACTGGCATTGGATTCCACTTCCGTTGGATGTATACTTAGAAATGGGATTGCAAATCACACCGTAGCTCCATCTTTGAGTATTTTTAAGTTTCACCATACTATTTGCCATAGAGGCTGCCCCTCTATTCCTGCCAACAGTACACGTGAGTTCCAGTCTCTCTCCCATCTCTGCAACATTCATCTTTTACAGCAGTAGACCATACATTTGGCAAGAGGTTAATAGTAAGCACCTACAAGGAACTTAGAGTATTCAACACAAACCAAATAACCCAGTTGAAAAACGGGCAAAGGACTTAGGTAACATCTCTCCAAAGAAGACACATAAACGGCCAACTGGAAGGCTTCTCGGTACCACCAGTCTCCAGGGACAGCTTTTGTTTAAGGCATTCCAGATGGTACATAAACCAGGCAGGGCCAGGTTTGGGAAATACCAGTTTTGAGCATTGTATGTTGTGGTAGGCTTACTTGCTGACCCCGCTTGCTTTTGAATAAGCAATCTTCCTCTGCCAGAGAATCTGTGGAAACAGGTTGTAAGCAACGTCTGTCTGCAGAATGGATTGCATCCCGGATGTGGAGTTTGTGATCAGAACACCGGGTACATGCGGGAAAATGGAGGAGAAAGCTGGTGCTGTATCTGTCCTGTTAACATGATGTGTTTTATTTTAGGGAAGATTCTGCTTTTGAGGGTAACAGGAAACAAGGAAGAAGGAGGATGCTGGTAATGCAATAATTTCTCTTTAAGGCAGTGCTTTACATTTTTTTTTTACTTTATACTTTATTTCAAAAATGTGGCATAGCTCTAGTCCTTGTTATCTGATGTTTTCTGAAATTTACTATACAAGTAATTCTTTGAATTTCAAATAGAAAAAATCAGTATTTCTAATAATAGGTAGACCCCCCAAGATAAATAACAGTGCTAATCTAGTAATACACACATTTTCTTATTTTCTGTTATTCATTGTATACTATAGACTTCATGAACTATTAACCGGAAAGGTAAATCTACAATATTCAGGCTCATTCAGGTAGATAAATGAATGAGATTGTGTTATAAAACCAGAATTGGGTAATATTTTATGCTAAAGCCTGTTTGTTGACAAATAGATCATGGAAGATTTAAAGACCCTTTGGTTAGCCTTTGGTACAGTAGTAAGTGCTCATTTACACTCCCAAAGAGCCACCTTTTCTCCTGGTAGATGGAGGATGATAGGTGCTCTCTCTGTGGCCCAAAGAGGCACACTGGGTATGAATGGGCATTGCCATGGTAACCAGCACTTAAATGCACAGTCAAAGAGGTCTATAGAAAGTGGGGTTCTGCTTTAAAATTCCCTCTTCCTCTCTCTCTTTCCCTCCCTCTCTGTGTCGGTGTGTCAAGTTATGTTAGATTTGGCACCTAGAGCTTGCTCTTGCTTTTAAAACAGAAAAGACTAGTAAGTAGACATTATACACCAGAGATCTTGAGTGAACTTTGACTTGTTAAATAAAATAGGGGCTGGAGAGACAGCTTAGCAGTTAAGAGCACTGACTGTTCTTCCAGTTGGAAATGCTTGACCAAGGAAATAATGGTGATCCTTTACAACAGCATCTTGATTGGGAATCTGCTCATGGAATCATCTCCTTTTTCGCCTCTTCTATGCATTTTTATTGTGGAAGAGAGTCTAGTCTTATAGGAGGCATTTCTCCTATGATAAATCACAGTATGTTTTACGTGTGCGGTGATGCGTTCAGTTGTACACAAATGTGGTCAGAGCCTCCTTTCAAGGTTCTAAGTGGCCGTCTGTTTTGGAAAAGTTTAATTACAGGAAACATCTCTTCTCTGAATCTAGTCAAGATTCAAGTTCAGATGTCAGTGAACGATCTTGGACCAGGAACCCAAAAAGGAAATCCCTAAAATCATATTCTCGGAGGAGAAAGTTGAGAGTCAGTGCTCTAAGAAGTAAGCTAATGATGATCTTCCTTTGGGCCCTTCTCAGAAGTCAGCAGGTATTTATTTCAGTATGGGACAGGGAGGAAAAGACCAAGGAGATGTATGGCCATGGGGACTTCCTTCCCTGTACCACTTGGAAATGCAAAATATGTGTACCAGAAACAGTGCTAAGAGGTATCTGGCATGAGTTGGATTCTTCTTCCACAAGAAGTGGGTGGGGCTTGAGCTAACTCTTGGGTAAGAATAGGATTTGAAGAGGTGGGAAGTTGTAGGTGACAACCAAGCTGATAGCCAGGTAGGTATAAGGGTGATGACCAGGGTAAGAGTTGTGGGGAACAAGGTTGAATGATTAGAAGGGGATCTTGGGTGAGGACGTTTGAACAAGCTCTCATTAGTGGGAGCTGCTAGCATAGTGTTGGCCTGTGTGATCACGGGAAGGGAGGGTTGAATCGTCTCATAGTGAAATGCACCCCTGTGCTCACTTTCACTTTTCAGTCTTGCCGCTTTCCCCAGGCAGTGACCGTGAGAAAGACCAAGTAAGTACATTTTATTGGGTCCTGGGGGTCCTTATGGAGTAAACTGCATTGCTTTTCAGCACTATGAGCTTAACAAACCAGGGTTTACTGACATTTAGTCAGCCAATAGAAACACTAAGGACGTCTAGACATTTGCTATGACTCTTAGGTAGTTTTAGAATCCTTTTTGATTGCCCTAAATGCTGCTTAAGGATCTTTATCGTGAAGGCTGTGTAAAGACATTTGCTGTTCTGATTTCCCATAAATATATGTTTTTAAATTTCCATTTCGAAGTAAACTTATTGGTTTAATTCTTCCCTTAGAGTTTGCTGACATGATACTTCAAAGATTTCAGTATTTTCATCTTAATTTTTCGAGTGGTTAGAATGTTTTCAGGCTCATGTAAATATTGGGTAAACTTGCAAAGTTTCTTCATTTATCTTCCCTCATCTTTGTTTTATGTCAAAGGACTTAGGAATATGGATACCAGTGCCCTCAACTAACTCAAAGACAAACTGTTCCTCTTATTAGAAGAATGGCTTCCTTCTCTTAGTGGGGTTTTGTTATGTTTCTTGTCAACACACACACACACACACACACACACACACACACTCACAGAGTTTACTCTCTTTCACAGTTTTTCTCTCTCTTACACACATACATCACTAAGTTTATAATAGTTTTGTCTTTTTGAGACAGGGTCTCCCTGTAGCCCCAGCTGTCCTGGAACTCACTATGTAGACCAGGCTGGCCTTGAACTCACAAAAATCTGCCTGCCTCTGCCTCCCAAGTGCTGGGATTAAAGGTGTGCACCACCACGCCCGGCTATAATAGTTTTATGAGGGTGGGGGTGCTGCTGTGGTTCTGTGGGTACCATGCCTGCCTATGCAGAAATGGGATGCAATTAATATTCCAGTCCCAGCTCTGTTTTGTTCCTCAACAAGGTTATAGATAGAGAAAGGTTAAACTTATGAGTCAGAGAAAGCATAGTTTTCCCTTGGTATGCATGGGCAGTTGATTTCAGAATCCTGCTTGGATACTCAAATCTATGGAAGATTGTGTACTGAGAAAATAGCATAGTATTTACAATAATATATGCACATCCTCCCGTAGACTTTAAATCATCTTTAGAATTTGTATTTATCCTGAGATCCTCTGTGTTGCTGGTCCTCTGGACCTGGAGAAGACTTTGCAAACCACTAACCTCAAGTAATCAGTTGAAATATATATGACTTCAATGTCCTTCTAGTTCTGGAAGCTTAGGGTCTGGGTTTTGATATTTGAATGCAGGAAATCAAATATTGTCTTCTTAGAGAAATATTGAAAATATCTTGAGTTTTATTTTTAGTGTTATGAATATTAATGTTCAACAAGCATGTTATGTTTTAGGCTGACCTAAAACCAGAATGGAAAGGCATCTCCAGGCAAAATGATACTTCTTCTCCAAAACTTTCTGAAACAAAACTACCAGGTAGTTCTGCCCTTTTAACTCCTGAGTATTCTGCCAGGAAAATAGGTATTTGATTTTCAATTGTTTCACAGAGAGAAAATCTATTTAAGGATATAGTCTTAAAGAAACTATCTTTGACTTTTAAAAATCCAATTATTTATTTATGCATGTATGTGTGTGTGTGTGTATGCATGTATGCACACTGCACACGTGGAACTCAAAGGACAATTTGTGAGAATTGATTCTTTCCTTCCATGTGCACTTTGGGGACCACACTCAGGTTATCACACTTTACCCACTGAACCTTCTCCCTGGCTCTGAAAGAAACTAAAAAAGAAATCTGTGAGTGTGATAGAATGGCTGTTTTTCTATTGGATGTTTCCATGAGCAGAGGAGGATGGAGGTTATGGTGTTTTAATTTTGAGACTTGAGGTCAGCTTGTACATGAGAATCTGGTGCTCTTTTTAAAGATAGAAAAACTTAAATGGCAACCACAAGAAGGGATTACTAAACTTTTTTTTCAAACGACTGATGGTAAATAATTTTGCTTTTTGACTCATGTTGCTTCTGGTTCAAGTATTCAGCTCTACAATTACAGCACAAAGTCATCGAGGTGTGAACCAGTGGACAGGCCTGGGTGTGTTTCTATCATACTCTCTCAAAGATAAAATCATATCGCATTCTGGATTGGGTCTGGGGCCAGACTTTGAAGGAGGAAGAAGGTAATAATGATTAGAGCAGACATAAATGAAATAGACCCAAAAAGGACAATATAAAAGACCCACAAACATAAAATTGATTTTGTGAAAAGATAAACAAAAATGGAAGAACTTTAGCTAGACTAACCCAGAGAAAGGAAGTATTTGAAATTCTAAATGAAAGAGGAGACATTACAATGGATTCTACAGAATTAGAAAGATCATAAAGTACCACTGTGAACAATTATATGCCCAAAATGCAATCACCGAGAATGAATGGGAAGTTTCTAGACAATTACAGCATACCAAGTGTGAACCATGAAAATGTAGAAAGACTGAAGAGATCAGTAACAAGGAAATTGAATCAGTAATCAAAATTTCCCAATAAGGAAAGGCCAGGACTTGATGGATTCATAATTGAATTGTATAAAGCATTTAAATAATTTGCAACAGTATTTCTCAAACTCTTTCCAAAATCTGAAGACAAGGCAACATTGTTAAATAATATCCCATGAGGCCAGTAGCTCTTCAACTGTTGAAGTTAGATAACAGATCTAGAAGAACAGAAATTACAGATGAATATCCCTGAGGATCACAGATACAAAACTGTTCATCAAAATGCTGGTAAACTGAAGTCAGCAGTACATTAAAAGCACCATGCATTGTAATTAACTGGGATTTATCCCTGGGATGCAAGAATAGTTCAACTTATGAAAAATTAAGAAGTGAGATTCACCACAGTAACAAAATGAACATAAAAACCATGATTGCGATAGATTCAGAAGAATATTTGAAAAGTCTGCATCCTTTCATGAAGAGAAAAATCTCAAAAATTAAATATGCATACAGAATATCCAGGAGCATGTTAAAGCCAATGCATAAGAAGCTTATAAGGCATGTCATGCTCAGGGGTAAAAGGTTGAAAAGATTTTCTGCAAGACCAGGAAGACAACAGCAACGTTCCCAGTCCCACTATTCAATTCAATATAGTCCTGAAAGTCCTTATCAGAGAAATTGGGCAAAAAGATAAAGGAATATACATTGGAAATGTAGACACTAAGTGAACACTCTTGACTGATTATATCATTTAATATAGAAACCCCCAAATGTCATCAAAACCTCTTAGAATTAATGAACCAATCCAGTAAAATTGAACAAATTCTGTCTGCATATCTAATCTAATGTATATCTATATATCTATAAAATCATTGTGCTTTTTTGGTGACTTCTAATTCTAGATTACCGAAGAAAGATGCTCAGAACTCAACAACTCCTTCTCCACAGAGAAGAGCCAGAGTAACAGGTGCTCTACACTATTGGGGTTGGGTGTTATGACAGGGAAAGGACAGTGCTGCTCTTGAGAACTAGATTAGGGTGCAGATCCTCTAGGATGAATGGTGTGACCAACTATTTATGGAATTGTGTTAAAACTGAATACAGTGAAATGTTCCTGCCACCCCTTCCTTCTCCTGAGCTGAGCCCAGGCCCCTGTTACTGCCAGGGTGAGAACAATATAGTTTCTACTGCGTCCTTGCCCAGAGGAGTGACTTGAGGGGTGTGAGTAACTCCCTTGACTCCAGCTAAGATCCTCCCCATTGGCATGCAGCCCAGCTCTGGCTGTAGTCCCACTCCGGGGCATGCAGTCATCAAAGCAGGAAGGAAGAACACCCGTGTTTCTGCCTCCTACACCTCATGGACATAGATTCTGCTGCTACATCATCTGGCCATACACTGCTGTCGGGACGGAGTATGAGTACCACAGTGTGAGTGCCCTGCAGTTTGTGCCATAGGCTTTGCTCATGTAGCATCTCAGACCACACCACCAACAGGTCAGTGAACAAGAGCTTCAAGGCCTTACCACTGCTGATGCCTCCAGTGCCAGAGGCCTTTGTAGGCAGCAGAGCTAGCATCCACAGTGCTTGAGGTAAACATCATCTGATAGGGATCACTGCCTCATTGCGGGATAGCTGCACAGTACCACATACGCACTATTGTCTACACCTGCTTCAGCTGCTGGAGCACCCTTAGTCTTGCATGGTCTATAGAGACAGTGGGTGTCTGAGACTTCAGAGTATTCACTGTGCCCAGATTCATCAACCACAGGCAGAAGAATTATAGACAGATGGCACTATGATGGCCACCTAGAATCAGTGTCATCATTGATAACAAAGTGACGTATTTAGGAGAAAGGCCCATACTAGGAAGGTAATCTCACAAAGGGAAAGAGATTATTTGCCAGATGTGTAAGTCTCAGCATAGGAACAGAATGACTGTCAAACCAAATGAAATGAGGCCTCCAGAAGAACACGACTCACACGACTCTCAGCAGATTCCAAAGGTGGTTAAATGTCTAGAGAGAGTTTGAAGTACTTGATAAAGCATTTTAGAGTGATTATTAAAAACCTGAGATCCAAGAGCAACATACTAACAGTTGTATGAAATTAGGAAGACAATGCAAGATGTGAATGGAGATGTTGAAAAGGAAACAGTTGTAAAAACAACACAGATGACTCAGAAATGAACTGCATCACTTGGAAGAAAGAAAACTTGAAGTCAGGTCTTTTGAAGAACTGTAGTCAGAAGAAAAGAGTATTTAAAACCTATAGGATGTGATTTAAGAGCAAACACCTGCATTTTCAGAACACCTGAAGGCAAGGATTTAAAAAGTATAGAAAATAATGTTCCATTAAGTAGTAGAAATTTTTCCTGCTCATGGGAAAGATATGGACATCCACGTACAGGACGCTTGCAAGACTCCAGATAAAATCAGAAAAGATCTTCACAGCACATTGTAGTCAAATTGTCAAAAGTACAAAGAATTTTAAAATTTCAAAAGCACTAATTTACATTTAAGTTTATCCACATTAAACTAATAGCATAAACCCTGCAGGCCAGGGAGCAACTAAATGACATATTCCAAGTCTCGAAAGAAATTAACTGCAACCAAGATTGCTATACCTAGCAAAGCTATCCTTCAGACATGAAGATAAAAGATTTTCCCAGATATGAAACAATAAGAAATTCATGACCACCAGACCAGTCTTACAGAAGACATTTAAGAGAGTCCTGTATCCAGAATTGAAAGATAAGGTGGTGGTTTGAACGAGAATGTCCCCCATAGGCTCCTGTATTTTGACACTTGGTCAGTTGGTGATGCTGTTTGGGGAAGGTCTTGGAGCTTTAAGGAGTTGTGGTCTTGCTGGAGGGAGCACATCACCGACGGAGCGTTTGGAGAGTTCACAGCCTCACCCCACTTCCAGTTTCCTTCTGCTCCCTGTTTGTCTTTGGTGATGTCAGCTCTCAGCTTGCTTTTCCTCTTCTCTGTGAGACAGTCTCTTCACCACTGTATAAGCCAGGCCAGCTGGCCCATGAACCTCTGGGGAGTCTCCTGTCTCTGCCACCTAGCTCCCCGAGGGACGAGGGATGTGCTGAGATTACAGACACTTGAGCTACTTACATCTGGTTTTGTGTAGGTTTGGGGATCCAGACTCGGGTTTTCAGGCTTGCAAGGCAAGTACTTTTATCTACTGAGCCATCTTGTCAGACACCTTAATTTTTGAGACAGGGTTCTCACTGAACATGGAGCTTGTAGAGTTGGCTAGATTGACTGGCCAGTGAGCCCCAGGTATTCGCATGTCTCTGCCTTCCCAGCACTGGGATTATGGGTACACACTGCTACTCTGCCTTTGTATGTGGGTGCTGGGGATCTGAATTCAAGCCTCATGCTTGTGCAGCAAGCAGTTATTAACTGAGCCATCTTCCCAGCCTTAAGAGAAAAACAGGGAATTCTATTAAATTCATTATATGAAGCTAGCGTTACCCTGTTGCCAAAATACAGCAGACACAACACAGAAAACCATAGAGCAGAATTTCTGATGAATATATATGCAAACATTCTCAACAATATACTAGAAATCAGATCAATTAATCAGTACATCAAAAATTTTCACTGTGATCAAGCGGGTTTTATCTCAGGGATGCAAGATTCAAGGATGATTCAGAAAAATGTGATACAATTAGCTATCAAGGAAATGAATACCAAAACAGCAATGGGGGGGGGGGCAAAACAGACCAGTGATAGAGCAGTTGACACATGCTGGGTTTCATCTTCAGCTTCTCAAAAATCACAGTTACAATGAGGAACCAGCTCACAATGACTATTATTAACAAATAGCATTGGCCAGGATGTGTAGAAAGAGGAGCTCTTATCTACCGTACCATTGGTGACAATGCAACTTAGTGCAGCTATTATGAAGCATAGTTTTGAGGTTCCATAGAAAATGAATAGACCTGTCATGTGACACAACTACCCTACTTCTGTGCATATAACCAAAGAGAAAAGTCAGAATGCCAAAGAGATACATTTGGGCCCAGGCTTACTCAGGATAGCTAAGATAGGGAATTGGCCTACTGCCCGTACACAGAGGAATAGATAATGTAAGAGCAGCGTATGAACAAAATGTGGTAGTGTTCGGCCTTTCAGAAGAATGTTTTGCCTTTTGCATCAGAATGGATGCAACTGGAGGACTCTTGAAATAAATCAAACACAAGTACCACATGTTCCCTCTCACTTGTGGAAACTAAATTCTTGACCATAGAATTGGAGTTACTAGAGGTCTGGAAGGATATATGGGGAAGGGAGATGGTTGACAAAGGTGCTTGGGTTTAGCCAGTGCACATTGTATTAATGTATAGAATTACCACAATCCATTAATACGCACAATCCATGTTAATTTTAAAATCCACCATACCCTCTATGCAAGCAAAGAATTATCTGAAAAAAGATGCAAGAAAATAACCCTATTGTATAAAAATAACAAAAATAAGGCAAGAAAGGGAAAGAGCTGTGTACTTAAAAAAAAAAAAAAAAAAAAAAAAAAAAAAAAAAAAAAAAAAAAAAAACCACCATGAACACAAGTGCTTGAAGAAGGTATATTGTCATGCCCCTGGACTGAAAGAATTGATATTTAAAAAAATCCACACTACCCAAGCAATATTCAAATTATATGCAATCTTTATCAAAATTCCAATGGCATTTTTTACCACAGTAAAAAAAAATCCCATAAAATTTGTGTGAAGTCGTGAAAGGTCTCAAGTACCCATGGTAATCTTGGTAAAGAACAGATCTTCAAGTATCATATGTCATACTTGAATTTAAGTTACAAAGCTGTAGAAATTAAAAATGGCATCAAGAGATACAAGTCAATCAGAATAGGAATCCCAATCATAACACCCCAGGCGTACAAACAATCTTTGCCAAGGATGGTAAATGAAACAATGTGGGAAGGAAAGTCTTTAATAAATCATGCTGGGAAAACTGAATATCCAAACAGAGGGAAAAAAACAGGACCCATATTTTATACCATATACAAACTTAAAATGGATTAAAGACATGCATGTAATATTAGAAACTGTATATCACAGTAAAAATAACTGAGTCATGGAACCAACATAGGTGCCCATCACCAGGAATTAATAAAGAAAATGTGGAATAGATTCACAATGGAATTTGTCCAAGCACAAAGAATGAAATTATGTCATCTGCAGGACAGTGGATGCAACTGGAGATAATAAGCTAATTAACAGATAATTATTGCATGGTTTTTCTTATTTGTGGGTCCTGGATTTTTTATGTACAAAGTACAGAAAGTGAGGTGGTTGGGGGAACAAAGGGAACTGATAAGAGGTGAGGAGGAGGGAGAGGATACAGGAGAACATACTCAAAGCATACTGTGTACTTGAATGAAATGGCCCTTGTGTGACCCTGCATTATTTTTTTTATAAAATAATGGGGCACTTCATGGATTTGCAAGCCATCCTTCACAGCGTTCATGCCAACCTTCCCTGTATTGTTCATTTTAAGTATATGTGCTGCTAAAGTGAGCATGTAACCCTGCAATATGAAGCAAACTAATTTCTTGTCAAGAAGCAAGGAAATAGCTTCTTGACAGTGGTGTTAAGTTTTTGGATATGACACCAAATAAAGGGTGGGCAGCAAAAGTAAACAAGCCAGACTCCATCAAACAAAAAGGTTGAATGGCATCAGAGGAAATGATCAACAACTTACAGAATGGGGAAAATACTTGCATATATCTGATAAGGTGTTGATACTTGGAAGAAGCTGGCAGTTTGGGCAAAAACCAAGGGGCTAGAGAGAGGGCTCAGTGGTTAAGAGCACTTCCCGCTCTTGTAGAAGAGCTCAGGTTGGTTCCCAGCACCCACATGGTGGCTCACATATGTAACTCCAGTTCCAGAGGCCCTCTTCTGGCCTCTGTGGGCACTGTACGCACATGTGTACATACCTCATACACATTTAAAAAAAGTGCAAAAGCCAATTTAAAATGAATAAAGCACCGAAACAGACATTCATCCAAATGTCTACTAAACCTATGAAAAGGTGCTCAGCATCACTCTTCACCAAGGAGGTACAAATCAAAGCCACAATAAGGCTGGGTATTATGTTGCATATCATAGCACTCAGGATGGTGAGGCAGGAGGATCTTGAGTTTGAGACCAGCCTGGGCTGCATAGACCCTGTGTCAGAAAACAAAACCCATATCAAGAGTGTGGAGAGGTACAACTTAAATGTCTAGTAGTGTATGCATTACTGACGAAAAATGTGGTGGCATAATGTTCCATCTTATATTCTAGAAGAAAATCTTGCCTTTTTGGCAGAAAGGACGAACTTGGAGGATATTCTGCTGTGTGAAATGAGCCAAACGTAGAGAAATGCAGGTTCCACATAAGTGAAATTATACAGTATCATAGAAGCAGAAAATAAAGTGTTTACCATGGGGTGGGGAAGTGGAGGTGCTGATCAAAGTATGCAGATTTTTCATTAGAAAATGAACAAGCTCTGTAGGTAACGTTAAATTAATTTGAATGTGACAATCAGTGAATGTCTGGGTATATCAAGTCAAGTCACAGAAGAAATAAAGGAGGGAACTTAAGGCAGAGGAGACAAAAAGCAAGCTTGCATGATAGAGTCTTTATCCATGCACGTGGGGCCAGATGGGCAGCTCTTGAGGCTGCTGATGTAGTTGTGGGTAATCGACTATTTCATGTATGGAAATATAAGCCCAATAGCCATACTTGCCTGAAAGACATGATTTTTGTCTAGGACTATGACTCATCTTTTTTTTTTTCTGGTCTTTTTGAGATAGGGTCTCCCTGTAGCCCCAGCTGGCCTGGAACTCACGGAAATCCTCCTGCCTCTGCCTCCCAAGTGCTGGGCATAAAGGCATGTGCCACCACACCAAGTCTTATGCCTCATCTTTTAATGATGATATATACTACAGAAAGCAGTCACAAAATATTATTGGCCTTTAATTGTTCCTTGCTATATTTGTTCACTGGGAAATGTTTCCTCTAATATTCAGACCTTCAGAGTGTCTACCCATTGAGCGATTTCTCTTCCTCAGTACATTCAGAAGTTGAAGAAAATGTACCTCAGGTATTGCTTAACTGTTTTTCATTTGGTTTTGCAGAATTAAACTTGTATGTTCATAACAAAAGTTGTTTATTCTTTTGTAAAAGATAATATAGTACTGTTTTATTTTATAATTATGTCTTTGTAGGTTATATATGTGTGTGTTTGTGTTTTAGATTGTGAACCAAGATTCATTCATGGAAAACAGTAGCTTCAAACACAAGGTAGAAAACAGAGGTAAGAGAATAACGAATTCTTTCTGTAGTAAAAAGTGAAATGAATTGGGGCCAGTTTTCAGACTGCAGCAGATAAAAACCACTTTACACAGTGATTTCTGCGAGCTATGCAGCCAGCAATTGAGCGGTTTACCAGCTCCAAATGCCTGTGACAGTCAAGAGGACAAACTAGGGTTCCGCTGGGGAACTAGGCTCTCTTGTACCGGGGAAGAGAGAACCTGGAACCTGGTCCTATCAGCCATGCCACTGTTCTCTCTGAATTTACTTTAGAGACTTGTTTCATTCCTCAACGCAAACCACTTTCAATTCCTAAGCAATGTGCTGAAAGGTGTGTCTTGGTCACATCCAGCTTATCTCCTTCTCCCCTACCCAGAACACCTCATGGGTGCTACGTCACTATGGGGATATGTTGATGTTTTAAGACTGGATGCTAGACAGCTGTTGTTTTCCCCAGTAGAGTGCTGGTCATTTTCTTCAGGAAAGCAATGGTCCTTAAAACATTTTGAGCCCACAGGGCTGAAGAGATGGCTCAGCGGTTAAGAGCATCGGCTGCTCTTCCAGAGGACCCGTTCCATTCCCAGCATCCATATGTAGCGAACACCTGTAACCCCAGTTCCAGGAGATCCAATGCCCTCTTCTGGCCCCTGTGGGCTTTGCACAGCAAGAGTACACTTTTACATACACATAGGCAATATACACAAAAATAAATAAAAAAGTTAAACATTTTGAGCCAAGTAGTAGAGTAGGAATTTAACACATGCTTAGTATACATGTTCCTCCCTGAGAATGAGACCCTGACGTTTTGAGTGTCCTGCTGATTCCTCGGGATGCCCTCAGTCAACTGTCAATTATGCTTTGATGTTTACCATGGGACTTTTGATGTACTGTGTTCCCAGAGGTATAGGCAAACAGGACAGTTTCACAAGTTTGCATTTTCCCTTCATTAATCCCCTGAGGCTTCTAGAATCGGGAGTCAGGTGGAGAGCTGCTTCTATGCTATGAATGTCGAATACAGTGCCCAGCACACAGAGGAATCCAGTGTTTTCCAAACAGATGAAGTTAGAAACCCAGATTGCCTAGCATTGATGAATACTGTCATGATTCCATATTTGAATAGATGTGACCATAAATATTTTCAATTGATTCACACATTTTAAAATACGCTAATCTGGGGGCTGGAGAGATGTCTTAGAGGTTAAGTGCTCTAACTGCTCTTACAGAGGACCTGGGGTTGGTTCTCAGCATCCACTTGTCAGATAACAGCTGTCCATAACTCCTTTTCCAGGGAATCCAATACCCTCTTCTGATTTCTGCTGGCATTGTTCAACACAGGTGCAGTTACATGCATTCAGGCAAAATACACTCATACACACCCATAATTTAAAAAAAATAAAATTAAAACGTACAAATTCATATGAAAGGTTGTTTTTTGTAGCCTTTGCTCGTAACAAAAGCACCAGAGGAATAAACGAAGGATTTGGTGCTGGGAAAGCCCCATAATTGACATACAGGCAATCTTCTGGTAAAAGAATTGATCTTTCCTAGGGAAGCTCCTGGCCTTTGTCATTCTGGGCCACAAGGTGTCACTTTAGAGCAAGAGTTTTAGAAATGCTTGCCTTGGGGACTATTAGCTGTGAACTATTACACAGTTGACTCTGTCTTAGCATTAACAGTACTCTTTAGCAGAAACATGAATCTAAAAATGCATCACGGATACCAAATTGTTCACTAAAACTTGTGCCCAGTAGGCCACCAAAAAATAAGTTCAGAGTTCCTTGAATGGTGTGTTGGTCGTTTCTCTTGTTGCTGTGATAAATCCCTGACCGAGGCAGCTGAGGGATGGAAGGATGTAATGTGGCTCATGGTTTGGGAAGGATACAGTCCATCCTGGTGGAAAGGCACTTGGCAGTAGGTCACCTTGCATCTGCAGTCAGGAAGCAGAACAACAAATGCTGGTGCTCTTTGCTGCCTCCTTTTCCCCTTGTTAAGACCCCAGACCATGAGAGGGCACCACCCACATCCTTGGTAGGTCTTTCCTCCTCAGTTAAGCCTCTCTGGAAGCATTCTCATAGTCACACTCAGAGTGTGTCTCCTAGATGATTTTAAGTCCATTCAAGTTGACAGTGAAGATTGACTGTCACAGGTGGCAAAAGTCTGCCATGGAGCTGGAGACAGCTGAGCTCTTGTCAGGGTAAGAAGGTACTTCTTCTGCCATCAGTCAGCAAGGACACAGACTCAGTGTCCTCTGTAGACACTCTAGTTCAGTCACCATATGTTTACAATGCATGTGTTTAGTTTTGAAGTATTCTATGTATGCAGTATTAATACTTAAATGAGATTGTTGAAAAGGGCTAGTTAAATGTACATTTATCATAGAAACAAACCTGAGCTTGTGATATCACTTGGGACTTGCAGCCTTTCATCAGTAGCACTGGTAATTCTGGAGGGTTCTGTTCAGTATGGAGCACCACACCTTTAGATAAATAAAGCAACTCAATTGGCGTTACTTCAAGGAAGGGTTCTATATACTGGCATATTTCCCCCTCCCAGAACTGGTCTTTCTGGACTCTCTGGGTTCATAAACACTGGATAATTCCCTAAGGGCTCACCAGGGCATCTATACCATGTTCCTGGGCTCCTCTGTCCATTGGTGGAAGCAGTTTCTGCCAGCAGGTGGCCTGTTCTGCCCTTGGTGATGCATGAATGTCATGGTCATGCTTTGGGCAGGTGCTTATAAAGTAACCATCAAGAAAATAGGGGAAAAAATCCCAGAAGAGGAAAAACAGGCATCTGAGAGGGAAATGGAGTTCAGTGTTTCTAAATAGGGACTGTCTGGAATCTCCTGAGAGGTTTCTTAGGATCCTGCTTGGGGTATAGTTAGTGCCAGAACTGAAGAATCAGAGGTGTTTGATTTGAAGTTGAAAGAGGGGGATGGAAAGAAGGTTTGTGCTTTGATTTCCAAAAGTCATCTTCCCTAGAAATATCTATCCATACTGTTCAAACAGATGGGCACACCCTGATTTAAATGCAATGAGAAGAGATTCTAGTTTCAATAAGTTACCTCTTACAGTTGAGGGTGTCTCTTAGGCTTTTTACTTTTATTTATTTTTATTTTATGTGTATGAGTGTTGTGCCTGCATGTAAGTGCATCCATGTTGTGCAGTGCCTGAGGAAGACAGAAGAGGACATCGGATTCCCTGGAACTGGAGTTACAGATGGTTGTTAGCTGCCAGGTGGGTACTGGGATTCGAACAGGCAGTGTTTTTAACTGCTGGGCCATCTCTCCCTTCTCGGCTTTTTACTTTTCATTATAAAAGGCTTGAATTTTTTCACATTCTGTGAAGTAGAAAGAACTGTCTGGTGAAAGTTGTAGTTCATGGGAATTCTAACAATTAAAAATTAGACTGAATTTTTATTTTTATTGTGTGTGTGTGTGTGCGTGTGCGCGCGTGCATGAGCACCATGGCTCACATGTGGAGGTCAAAGAACAATTAGCAGAAGTCAGTTCTCTCCTACCATGTGGGCCCCAGGGATCAAACTCAGGTCATCAGGGTTGGTGGCAAGTGCCTTCACCTTCTGAGCTATCCTACAGGCCCAGAATAAACTAACTTTTATTTTTATTTGTTGTTCAGAGACAGGGTCTAATGTAGGGCAGGTGGGCCACAAGCAGGCTAAAGCTGAAGATGAGTTTGGAGATTTGACCCTTAGGTTTCACTCATGGCATCATGGAATTTCAGGCCTGTAGGATTCCACCAGCACATGGCAGGTGGTACTGGGGCCTGAACCCAGAGCCTCTGATATGCTAGACCTGTGCTCTACCCATTGAACTACATCTCCAGCAACTTCATGGAAATTCTATAGAATATTAGCCAAGGTGTCTAAAGTTTATTATTTATCTTATTTTTGGTCTTTTTGAGACAGGGTCTCCCTGTAGCCCCAGCTAACCTGGAGCTTGCTGTGTAACCCAGGCTGGCCTCAAACTCACAGAGATTTGCCACCTCTGCCTCCCAAGTGCTAAGATTAAAGGCATGCGCCACCATGCCCGGCTTTGTTTATTTTTGAGAGAGGGTCTCCCTGTAGCCCCAGCTGGCCTGGAACTCACTATGTAGACCAGGCTGGCCTGGATCTCATAGAGATCTACCTGCCTCTGTCTCTGTGCTGGGATTAAAGGCGTATGTCACCACACCCGGCTAAAGTTTATCTTTTATGTGCAATGATTTTACTTACATATCTTGTACATCTGCTTAGCTTTTTTCCGTGCCTGGATCATCCTTTTGTGTTTGAATTAGACTTTATTGTTATTTTGCTATTTCCTTCTATTTTAATAAAACAGTCTAAGTTGCCATTTAAGTCTGGGTTATTCATTTTTCTGAAAGCTGTATTTGTTAACAGTGCAGGGCATGAAATATCTTACATTAACCATTCTCTAATTTAGTAAATTTTAACAGCATTTTCCCCCTTTTGAAGTCTGTAATTGGCATTTCTAGTCTGTAATAGTGGCACTATTTCTAGAAATTAGAATATTTACAGCTTAATCCACCAAAATAGTTTTAGTAGACCTTAAAATACTAAGTTTCTTTTTATGATGTAGTAGGGTCACCCTCTGTACTTACAGGTTCTGCCTCTATAGATTAAATCATGGATTGAAAATATTCAGGAAAATAGAAATAGATACTACCCTTCAAAACAAAGTAAGAACAGGCAATAAAGGTGTACCAACAATTTGCATGGCATTTGTGTTGCATTAGGTGTTATTGATGATCTGGAGGTGACATAATACATATAAGAGGTTACTCATAGGCTATATGCAAATGCTATACCATTTACGTAAGAGACCTCGCACCTGTGGATCTTGGTATTCATGGGGGTCCTGGAACCAATCTCCATAGATAATATGGAACCACTTTGTCTGGGTCTTTAAAATGTGCAGTTTCCTGTACTTTTGTCTATACTATTAATAAAAGAAAATTAGAACAACTTCTTTCCTAATGGATTTTACCA